CTGGGGAAATGTTTACAGAGAAGATCCTTAGAGTGCAGGGTATATGCATCAAATACATTGAGAGTTTGGGAGTTGCTAAAAATAGAATATTGCTGCTATGTAAACTAAGATAATAGTTAAAGTATATTAATTGTCAGTAGGAAAGAACAAAATCTATTTTTCCCTGATGTGACTTTAAACCTACTAATTTTTGTTTATGTATATTATCAAGATTTTAAAAACTCCCACTATTTATTTAAGGCATATCTAATCTGCACAAGTTTTGGGCATGTTAAATCATTGAGATGCCCATTTCTCATTACTTAGAGAAAAAAAATAAACTTATAGAAAGAAGATTCCTAGCATACTGTTAAAAATAAATCAACAAACTCAATTAAATTCTCAAGACATGCATAGCACAATCAATCCACCAGTAATGATATAATACCATTTCATGAGTTTCATTTCTCATAATAATATAACCCCAGTGAACATGTGTATGGTGCATGGTCAAGTTGTTTAGAGAGCTATTTTTAAATATGTAGTAAATTAAGATAAAAATGGCGTTTCAAATTCTCAAACCCTTAACACTTATTGTAGCTGAACAAGTGATTGTAGACAAACGACTCTGAGAATCTACCTCTCAGAGAATCAATCTCTCCCACAATTTAGTGACACAAGACACCCCCTGATATTCACCCAGCTCTGACAAGTTTTATTTCCACCATAATATTATTACTCACTTAAAAATAATTGAACCTCATATACAAAGGCACACCTTTTTGTTTACATATTGTAGAATTAATATGCAATGTACACACACATATATTAAGTACTCAAACAATTTCACAGTAATCTCTGACAGTGTACAAAATGATAATGTTTTAAATAAGCTTTCATTAAGTTAAATGAAATGTTTTATTATTAATCATCAAATGGTTCGATTCAAACAAATGATCCAATATATAGCTTAGAGAAAATGAGCCTATAGAAACAGAATTCTGAAAGGAAGTTTGACTATTTTTGCACACTTAGAGTAACATAATTTTGATGATAAGGGGCAAAGAAAGATCATCTTACTGAGATACTTGAATTGGGGCATTAAAATCCCAGACTTAATGACAATAAAAAAAGAATTTATCTAATCTAAAATAAAAACATTTTGAGAGAATTATTCATAAAAATTCTGGCATTTACTTTCAGTTCTTTCTCACTGAGGATTTGGTAAAGACCATTGTCCAACATGACTAAGGATACAGTCTTAGTGACTAAATGTCCTTGGCTCGTTTAATTTTTCTAATATTTTTTGTCAGATAGAATCTTTTCCCATTTCCATGGAGCAATGTAATGACATATCATATTCCTTTTCCTAGGAATATGATGGCTTCTTAGTATGGCTTACTATATGCATCTGCAAATATTCTAAGTTCATTATATTTAATGAGTTATAAGGTAACCAATTTATATATAAGAATTTGCTTCCCATACACAAATTCCCTAAAATGTTGATTATCTATTTTGTTTGTTAAAGTAGCTGCCCAATCTTTGAGTTATTTGCATTTCTTTTCTGAATGCATTGAGTCTGAATTTTCTCTGCTTTTATTTTCAACATCCTTGATAGTAAAATTTTCTTCAGACTCAGAGTCAGAAACAAACGTATCTGTAATACTATGGGGCTTCTAAGTATAGTAGAGATTGCTAATTGTTCACCAAAATCCATTCTTCTCTTATTTAATAAAAGACTTCCTTGAAGATTAGTTCAGCACATGGGCATCTCTGTGGGCATGTGTGTGTGTGTGTGTGTGTGTGTGTGTGTATAAATATAAGTAAATGTAAAATACCTAAATGTGTTTAAAATATAGAGAGAATTAAAATGCACGGAATAGTAGCATATATGTGAATAGACAGTGAATGGGCTTAAACTGTGTTTAGCTTCAGAAAGAAGTAAAAGTAGTAATTCATATTAAACTTACATAATTCAAGGATGAAAATTGGAATTTCTAACTACTAGAATTTAATCAAAAGAACCAAGCTAGTTATGCTATGCTAAGATAATGTGAATTATTATAAAAAGGAAAAAAGTGAGAAACAAAGAACATAGGACATTTGTCAGAAAAAAAGTATAAAGTCCTCATAAGTTTTCATGAATAGAGCCTAAATTCTTAGAATAAAATATTTTTTTTCCAAAATTGATCCTGACAGTGGAATGCCCTCAACTACTAATTTAATACTTAACAAAAATATCTATCTACTTATATTAATATTAAACTTATATTAATATATGGGTTAAACAAATATTTCTGGAATATTAAAATACTTTTATTACAGTTCAAAAGAAATAAAATAGAATTCACTTATAACAAACTTTCCTGTGTATAAAAATTAGCCAGTATATATTTAATATTTACTTAAACCAAAACAATTAGATATAGAGCCGAGTGTATTGTATCAAATTAAAAAAATAATAGATGATTTTATAATCCTGGGAACTACTATATGTAGGTTAAAATAAAACCAAGTGTGCAGGTTAAAAAAGGTAAGCACAGTAATTTAACTTAACTGTCCAGAGTTACTTGTACTCTGAAAGATATAAATGCCAAAAGTGATGATAATTCTGCCCCTACTCTTTGCTATCTGGGGAGTAGATGCCTTTGTGCAGTGATTGCTTGACCAAGGTTTCCTAGTGTCAATCTGTTCCCCCAAGGCTTACTGCTAATAAACTGGTACCAGTTGATCTCCCTTTTCTGTTTTACCATCACTTTTTATTACACTGAAATCTTACTTTTCCTTGAGTTTTCCATTAATTATTAAAAAAAAAATTCTTCCCTGTTACACACTTAATCAGCACTTTTTCCTTGTCTCTGCTTATTTACTTCTCTTCCATGCCATACCTCTCAGCAGTTCAACTCAGAAATAGAAAATTCTATTTTGTATACAAAATATATTTAGGAACCTATAAACCTAAGAATATACACAAAAATATTTAAAGTACTGTGCTCTTTACTTGGTTCATTTTGGTGCATTACTTACCACCAAAACAGTGAATGATGTGTTAATATGTAAATAAAACTTTGAGGAGAGAACTAATGTCCAAGAATATTTCACCATTCAAAAGTAAAACATAGAAGGGAGTCCATGCATTTCAGTTATGCTGCTCTTATTCAAAACATTGTTAGAAAGTTTATTTTATAATTTAGCAATTTATTTTGAATTGTGCATGCAACGAAATAATTTTTTAAGTTACTTATTTGTAATATTCCCCATCTTCTCCACCTGTTCCTTGCTAAGTAAGTTGGAAACTTTGTTTCTTAGAGGAAGTATGCAGTAGAATTCACCAATAGTTAGAAGAAATTCCCAAGACTTCATTCCCATACCCACCAGAAAATCTTAAGCCTATTAAAAATACCAGAATTTGAAGAGAGAATTTCTGTAGACTAGAAATATGTCTCCAACCCCACAAGTTAGGAGTAGAAAGTTCAATGATTCCAGGAGAAATAGCATTTGGTTGTTTGATTCTAGGCATTTCTCCGAGAGAGAAAGCAAAACCTCAGAGAGAAAATGACCAAATAGTGTGCCTAAAAGAGAAGAAGCAAGATCATAAGCCAAATTTACCAAAGACATCAAGAATTCCTGTGTCCCAAATGTGAATGAAAACAGCAGAATCAGTAGACCTAATGGAAACACTCCAGGAGACATTGCTTGTCTGTCTCAGTGTTCACCACACTGAGCTGGGAGAGGGTACCCTCCTTTCCTCTATACCTTTGCAGTGGGTAAAGTCTCAAAACCTTGACACATCCTTACAGGAAGAGGGTACTATGAGCTTTCAAATTCCTATTAGTCTGTTAGGATCTGTTACGATGGAGGCTCTGAATCAAAATTAGCCTAAAATAAGGAACAAAAACAAAACCCATGAAATTTCTTGAACATAAGTTTATTGACTCTGATTTATAACTACTACAAACCTAAAACTTTTAATTTTATTTCTAATCAAATGAAATGATGCATGTTTCTATTCAATTGAGCAAGCTAATATTTAGAGTGGAGGCTATATCATCTAATATGCCAGCTATACTTCTGGAATACAAACTATGCATAGCTGTAGTAGATTGTTGCTGTACTGGCCTTCGTTTATTCACATTTCCCTCTACTTGCTCCCTTGAGGAGCCTCTCTTATATGATCTGTGTGTTTATCCGTTTCACTTCTTTTGGCCAATGAGACCTGGAAACTGAAACATACAGCAGACTCTCCAAAATCTTGTGCTTTGGGGTTTGTCCTCTCTTGCTTCTCATTGGAATTCTGGGACTGCCATGTGAAAATGGCTAGGGTATCCTACTGGACAACCTGGACTGCATTGAGCAGCCCAAAGGAAGCTACACATATAAGTGAGGCCACCTTACATCATCCAGCCTACTTTTTCCAGACCAGAAAAGCTGCTGAAATGAGAAGAACCATTCAGCAAACCCACATAGGATGAGATAACACATTTTTATTGTTTCAAGCCACTACATTTTGGAGCAGTTTTTATGCAGCAAAGCTAACTGATGCAATATTCTATAGTTACTGGAAGGGATGGTTAATTAGTGGTAGTGCTCCTTTTAATTTTCAAACATCCAGGTTTGGATGGTAAATTATATGGCCATTCTAATTAAAAAACAAGAACTGATATCCCAAGGTGCAATCAGAAGCAATTTGTTATATGTGGCATTTAAAAGGTCCCTGTATAAAACTTTTCTTTTATGAATTAAGAACCAATTAAGAGATGTAGAAGTCAGACAAATGGAATTAAAAATTTCAGCTTTGTCATTGGCAAATGCTATTTTAGATAATGTGGTTTTTGAATTTGGAAGCAATGGGTTGGCTAAACCTTCACCTCAGAATTAAATTTACCCTCTCTGTCAGAAAATAAGAGTAGAAAAACTATAGAATCACAGAGGCTATTAAAATAAAATGAAAGAGGGCATAAGTGTCCCATGTTTATAGTTTGCCATTAACCAATTATTAATATACTTCTGGGCATCTGTGATCCAATTAAAAATAATAAGAATTACAATAAGAAAAAAGTCTTTCATATATCCTGCCTGGTGTATCACAAAAATTTAATTATATTACATGTTAGTTACATATCTTTGAAAAGACATCACCTTAGAAGGATAGAAACACTGGAAAATTCTCTAAAGTGAATAATGAAAAGCCTAGACAAGCAACCTTTGTAATACTAGGTCACATATAGGCACCCTTCATGCTATAATCTCTAGTCTATTTACTTTACCTTAACAACCCTTATTCATGCTTACATATGATTGGCTGGTTTGACTTTCTGCCTACTTGCAAGTCCATGCTACTTGCTTGAACTTTGATGATTCTGAACTTTATTGGCTTGCCATAATCCACTATAATTGAAAAACTCTGTGAGCATCTAGCCACTGGGACCCCAGGTTATCAATTTCCAAATCTTTCTTATGAAAAAACAAACAAGAAAAAGCCCTCTCTTGAATATCAAGCCCCTCAAGCTTTGGCTCTCTCTGTTTAATGTCATAGTCAGCTTCTGTCTGACTTATTTCCTCATTACATTTGCCAATCTATCTTTTAGCTTCATCATTCTACCAAACTAGAGCTTGCAAAATTACCAGACAATTTTGAATCAGTAAATCTAATTGACTTTTATTATTCTTCATTCTCCTCAATCTCTAAGCAGCTCTTCTCATTTCCCTCTTGTATCTGTGACTTCTCACTTTCAGTCATTTGCAGTTTGATGCTCTTTTGCTATACCCTTAAATATTAAAATTTCTCAAGGGTATGCCATGGGCCATCCCTCTTCTCACTATGCTTAAGCAATCACCTTCATACTTATAATTTTACAATAAGAACCTCCAAATTTATATCTCTGCTATAGACCTCTCCTCTAAGTTTCAAGTGTCTATAACTTAATATTTTGTAGATTGTATACTTAAATTTCTCAAAAGCAACTGAGACTATATGCACTCAAATCTCACAAAAATATTATATTATAATCTCACCCAAATCTTGTCATTGTCCATAATTTCCAATTCAGTAAGTGGATTTGCTATCTACCTATGTTGTAAGGCAGAAACTCAAAAGTTATCCTTGATACCTACTTATCCTGAATCATCCTTAAAAATTACTCGCATTGAGTTTACTAATCAAAAATATTTAACTTGGTCACCTTTTCTCCAAGTTTGACTTTACCACTCTAATCCAATCCCAGTTACCAAAATAATGCAAATGATATGCTTGTTAACTTTAACTGAATTGCATATCTCTACATAATTGTCTTTCCCACTTGTAATTTTAAATTTGCTTAACTGATTGTGGTAAGCAGAATCCTAAAATGATCCCCATAATCCCTTTAGTTCCTGCCCTGTAAAATGCTTCCCCTTGAGTGTATGTGTGTGGAGGGGAGACCCATGACTTACTATTGGCCAATAGAATATGACAAACATGAAGGGATTTTGCAGACATAAAGACCTTAAGGTCCAGGCTTAATCTAAGTTAATTAAGAGGGAGAGAGTCTTCCATAGACTGACTTAATCAGGTGAAATCCCTTGAAAGGGGGACTTACTCAGGTTAAAATATTAAAAGAATTCAAAGGCTCATTTTCCAGATTTGATTAACTAAGGGGCCATCCTAGAGAAGTTCATCTGAGGAGCAACTGTAAACAGTCTCTAGGATCCCAGGGACGCCTTCAGCTGACAAGCAGCAAAAGGCCAGGGTCTTTAGTAATGCGGCTGCATGCAAAAAATTTTGCCAAAACCTAAAAGAACTTGCAGATGGATTCTTTCCCAGTCAAGCTGCTAAATGAGAATATAAGCTAAACAAATACTCAATTGCAGCCTTGGGAGATGCTGAGCAGAGGACCCAGTTAAGCCATGCCTAGATGCCTGACCCACAGAAACTGTGAGATAACAAATTCGTGTGCTGATTTAAGCTTCTAGGTTTGGAGTAATGCATTGTGCATCAACAGTAACACAATACAGTAATTGTTTTAATCTCCATGGATCAATCTGGATAGCTCAGATTTTGTTGCAAAATCAACCTTCAATATCAAGGGTTTAACTAATTACAGGTTTTTCTTCTCCTTCTCCTGCTCCTGCTCCTCCTTCTCCTTCTCCTTCTCCTTCTCCTTCTCCTTCTCCTCCTTCTTCTACTTCTTCTTCCTCAAATTCAGTACAAGTTCTGGTACACTTATGATGACTTTGGCCTTTAATCTGAGTAGGGCTCATTCATCTATTACTACACAATGAAAGGCAGAATATATGAAAACAGAAATAGAATAGTTGTTAGGTATAAACTCTCTTTGGATCTCTCGCATTTCTCAGAAAAATTAGAAACTAGCAAAATGAGAATGGAATGAAGGGCCGATATAAAATAGTCATCTCAGAAAGTAAGAGAGAAAATTGCTGTAGGATCGCCAAGCAGTCAGGAGGACCTACTTGAGCTTTGGGATGATGCATTTTAAGTGAGGTCAGTATGCATGATTATTTGTTTTTCTCCAGCTGTGTTCAGCTACTTGAGAGAAGACATGGAATAATAAAATCATATATATAACCTTACCTGAGGTAATTTCACAAAAGAATGATAGAAGAAGAAAGAACAGGGAAATTAAGATGCATGTAATAGGGTAATTTTAAGGGTGTGACATGAAGCCAAGTTGAGACAAAAGAAAAGTGAGGGTATGAAGGCAATAATGGATGTGAAAAGGTGGGGGTCAATGAATAGGAGGTGCTAGCAGATCTGAGGAACTGTGGACGAGGGGTATAACAAATACTATGCTGGAATTATAAAAGCATAGTCCAGAGAGTGAGATGCTTGAAATTGAGACTTATAGAAATGGAAATAATTATTGCTAATGACAAATTTGGTAGCATTGGCATGGTGGCAAAGGAAGGGAAGGGAGTGAAAGGTAAAGTAATTTGAAGCAGAAAAGTCAACAGGATCAGCTGTGTCATCCAGAATGGCAGGATTCACTCAGAATGATAATGGGACTAGTGGCTGAGAGAGGGTGTTACAAGTGCTAGAATCTTAAGGAAATGAAGGGCAGTGACTACTAGGTGATAAATAATTGTAGTACAGAGGGATTGTATATAGCATAATCTCAAGGCAAATGGTTCAGAGATCCTATTTTTTATTATTTATCTATTTATTTTATTTTGCCTGGCCTCGAAATAGCAATGAAGTCACATAATATGCTTAGTCTATCCCATGATCTAGTTTTGTGCGAGGTAAAGGAAATAAAAGACATTACTGCAGACATCTGCAGGAGAACACTGGAGTCCAAAATTCTCATCAGAGGTATTCAGAGTTCAATCACTTCTCATAGCTGCTGCTATGTTGTTTCATGTAGCCAGAGAACACTTCCCTGGTTCAAAGATTCATCATGTTTTCCTTGATATTTCAAACGATTTCTGACAATCCTCTGCCTCTACCTTTACTCTCTACCCTTCTATCCCTACTCTGTGGCCAGAGGGACCTTTTCACAATGAAAATTTCAAATATTCACTTTTGCATAAAAGGATTTAATATTCCATCAAAGAATTTAGAACTAATTTCTAATTTCTAAAATTAATATAGATTGGTACTCCAAGCTTTGCATATTCTGGTATGATCTCCATCTCTATTTTCACTCTCTGGTCACATCCCCCATTGCTCTAAATCCAGTTCCCTGCATGTGTCATACTCTTTTATGTCCTGGTGCCTTTTTACTTTTTTTTTTTTCTGCCTAGGACTCTGCCAGAGTCATCTCTAACTTGTAAGATGACTGTGTACAATTTTAAAAAGCAGTGGCTCCTCTATACTGATATAGCCCTTTATAAACACGACTTGACCAACCAACATATTGAGAATTAAGGAAAAGTATAGCTTGCTCTGGGTAGAGCCAGCTCCAGTGGGGTGTCATGAACACTACAGTGGGAGTGCTTACTTTGGGTACAGGCAGGAGGTGGAGCCCTATTGCTTATAGAGAACTCAAAAGCAGTATATTGACAAATTTAGTCTATTTGTCATCATCATTCACTAGCAATTCTGAGGCTTAGAGGTGAAAAAAGACTCCTCTCTAAATATCTTTTGTCGGTCTTTTAAACAATCACCACAATTACACGTTAGGATTAATTACACACACACACTTGCACATACAGACCCACATATGGGTTTGTGTGTACTCTGATGTCTAAGAGGAAAGATTTAAAACATAAAATTTACTACTCACTCCTCATCACCTGTATGAGTTATCTCCTTGTAAAGTTTCCCTGGGGCAGAAATTCTCTCTCTTGGGCAGAAATTCTCTCACTTTATTGCTACTACTATACTTGTACATGCATTCTCTTATTAAAATCCCTGGGCATATGTGGTGTTAATTGTTTAAATGTCACCTATTCTAGGAAGAGAGTTATTTTTTTAGGAGAAAAATCATTATTCATGTCTGTATATCTTAGGTCTACTCTTAGAATCTAGGTTTTCAACGTAATAGCAAACACTTATATATTACTTACAATGTGCTAAGTGCATGACTAAATGTTTTGCACAAGTTACCCCATTTAACATTCACAAAATTTTATGAGGAATATGAGTAACTTCATTTTATAGATGAATAAGCAAAGGCTTTGTGAGCACAAAATCACAACCAGTGTCAGGAGAAAAGATCTGTGCCTCCACGTATGATGATTCAGGGTGTCTGGCTAAGGTGATGGATCGGGGTTGAAATGGACACATGCTCTGGCAAAACTTGTGCTTTCAGGCTGAGTTTTTCCCACCAAAGAGGAAGGAAGGAATGCCATTATATTTAATATAAATTGCAAAAAAAATACTTTATAGAAGTATCATGGCCCTAGGAGAGGGGGGAGACCATGGAATTACAGTCAGGAAGAAAATAATTAAAGAGGTACCTGGTATAAGTCAACATGACACATTCAGAAACTGAGATGAACACTTAGGCTGTGTGTGATCAAAAGTAATGAATGCAGAAGGATGTCAGCATCAAAATACCAGTGTTTTCTGGGCTAAGCAATAAGAGCTCAGAAATCTGACTTTTATTCTGAAAGTTTTGGAGAAGCATTGAATAGTTTAAAAAAGGAATTATGAGACAACATTTTCAACTTGAAAGATTTTTGTCTATAATATGGAATTTAGAGGAAAAGAATCCATTATGAAGCCATTGAATTAATTAAAATAAGAGCAGAGAAAGAAAAACAAAGAAGGACAAAAGGAAAGGAGAGTTCATTTGGAGACTAAAATCTTTAAAAAAATTATAAAATGATCTCTCTTATTACATATATCACCACAATAACAACATCTGTCCTACATAACACAAAAATATGTTGTGAGGATTCAGTAAACAGTGAAAACTGAGCAAATTTTATAAAGTATGAGTGCAATTTAAATGTTATGTTTATTTCTAAAAAGAACAGCACATTTACATGATTAATATTAATAAAGGTTATGGAATATGGAAGGAAAAGCAGAGGAGGACACATTTTGTTATCCAGGTTTTAAAATATCTTTTCTACCTTTTAAGATACTGTCAGGTAAGAAAACTTACACGGTTCAGGCTAGTCTCACTCTGATCTGTCATCATTTACCACCACCACACTTAGTCTTGCCTCTGTGAACTCTGTTATGCCCAGGCTTGCCTTGGCAAAAAATAAAATAAAATAAAATAAAATATAATAATAATAATATAAATAAGTTCAATGTTCAGTAAGTTAATAGATGTCTGAATTGGAGCTAGGCTAAGGGGAACCTTTTCGCTAGATTCAATACACATCACACTCCATTGGCCAGTGACTGGTTATGACAGATAATGAGAAAGAAATTCCAAACTTATCAGTAAGAAGTAAAAGGTACATCAAACACCAATGCACATATGGTGATGAAATGAGGCTTTCAAAGTGTTAAAATACTGAGTAATTCTGACAGTACTAAGACTGAACTGTTCATCACTCATATTTAGGTGTAACACATTTATAGGTATTAGGTACATACCTATCTAACATGAGTATGATATGGAGTATATGTTCTTTCTTGCTAATTTGAGTGAACAATTTGCTGTGAATGAAAAGTGTGTTGATTAAAGCTTACCCCAGAAAAACTGTGTACAAACAGTTTAATAAAAATCATGCAAACCATCATATTATATTTTGAGTTAGTAATTTAAATTTGATTATTAAATGAAACTAAGTTTAGGAAGTTTTTATCAAGTTAGGTTATGTTTTTCATATTATTATGACTATGTTTTCTAAACCCTTTACATAAAAATATGAATAAATAAGAGGCTATAAAATGGGTTAAATGATTATTAATCAAGATGCATATCAGAAAAATCTTTGAGTATTTCTTTAATGACATGCAAATTGAAGTTTCAGCATTTGGGGGATTCACTACTACTAATTCACTACCATTATTTTACTTGTCTTAGAATAAAGGACTTATTCTATTAATAGGTCATAACTTTTCACTATTTATGTTGAAAAAATATTATAGAACTGAGAGAACTACAGAAATCTCTTTAAGTGATGAAAAACTAAAATTTCTCCTAATATATATTGGCTAAAATGTCAGACATGCTTCCGAGTATTAAGCACACAAAACTCACAGAATGAGAATTCATTCTTTAATGAGTACAGAGTTTCAGCTTTGCAAGATGAAAAAAGTTTTGGAGATGGATAGTGGGGATGGTTTTACAGTATGAATTTACCTAATAACATGGAACTGAACAGTTAAGAATGGTTAAGCTGGTAAATTTTATCTTTTGTCTATTTTACCACAATTTAAAAATTTGAAAGAAAAGTCATGATGTGATCCTTTTTTTATATGCACAATATATTATTGTTGATGTAATTGGTAATCTATGATTATATAAAATACATGAAATTACCAGGCTCATGGACTTGCCCCCAGCTGCTGTGACTGTTGGCCCCCAACTCCTCACAGGCATCATCTTTTTTGGAGCATTTTCCCTGGCCAAACAGGAGCTCTTCAACTGCTCAACTAAGAGGTCCTTTACCCAGTCACTCTCAGCAAACCACAGCTAAAGACTTTCTTACAGGAGAACTTACAAGGGAAAGCTGACTCCCTTGTCTTAAAATAGGAACAACTCTGAGGTTCTCTGTGAGATCTTGCTGAAGCAAGTCTCTAGCTAAAACCACATTCTTGCTTGGCTTTTCCACATGGTTTGTGTTTCTCCACTCACTGCTTTCTCTTGAGAGCTCCCCTAACTAAATAACTTTCCCAAGTATCAA